GGTTATATAATTTTGGAACATGCAAGTCGCAACGTTAGATTTCAAATATTTCAAGTGAGAATTTTTTTGTTTGAATTTTGTAATGTGGTAAATCCACGAATTATTTTGTTGTAAGTGTTTTCCAGTTAACGTGACATGAACTAAGTATATACTTCATGTTGTGGGGCTCTCCCCTTTTTACATAAGATGGACTCGTCCAAAGTATACTTATACTGACAGGGAGAATACCTGCTGGTTGAGATACGCCGAGATACAGTCTCGACGTCTGTCGATCTCTTTGCATTGGCAGAGAGGAACCCGGACGAGGCTTTGCCGAAGGGCAAGGTTTCGTCCGGGGAGGTAGACAAGACCCTGAACCCGCCTAGGCGGGTTCAAAGGGTATATTTTTGGACGGGCCTACGGGCTCGGTGAAACCCACTTGAAACTCGGCCTTGTGCCACATATATTTCTCGTGGGTGGGATATTAAATAGTGAGATACGTTGAGATATGTGGAGATACGTGGAGATACGTTGAGTTACGTTGAGACAGGTTGGGAGATACGGAGACAGACACAGGGTGTTCTCAGAGAGTTATACAAAAGTCCAGAGAGAGAGAGATGATTCCGGCTTTATATACAGAGACTTGTACATATACTTTCTACTAACCCGCATTCCTGGACTACTAATCTTCACTTCAAGTCTGTATCCTTACGTTTAATAAACTTATTTTTCTATCTCAATTACTGGCATTATTTATTTATTTATTTGTGCATGATTCTATTCACGGAATCCGCAACACTTCAATTAATACGGTGATATGTGTTAGGAGTTTTTTTTAGGAAATTTCGTACTGGAGATCAATTGTTTTTCATAAACGTATTATATTGGGCAGCATATATTTTATGTTACAAGAGTTAATCATACAATGAATCAATTAGAAATATTAATGTGACTTGCACGTTCCAGTTTTATGTAATTGTATAATGAATGTTATCGGGAAAGGGCAATGCAGAAAAAAAAAAGAAAAGAGAGTTGTACCAATATTATTAATATTTTTCTTACATGTCGGTGAGTCGATGTGGGATCAAGATTACATGAATAGGTCGAAGGTTTTAAAAGGATAGGACTTGATCTATCTATCTATCTATCTATCTATCTATCTAATCCTTTAGCATATCTATTAATCTATCTCATTCTGTTCTTACCTATCTATCTATTGATTTCATTCTTTTCCTATCTATCTACCCATCGATCTATCACACCGTTTTTCCATATCTATCTATCTATCGATCTATCTATCTGTTGAAACTTGACTAATGCATGGAATAATAATGCAACACAAAATGTACTTAGAACAAAATGTATTGAAACAAAAAAGTGTACACAATATTTACATATAGTCTTTTGTATATTCCTGGTAAGACCGTTCCTGGAGAATGTGTTGACTGAGTCGCAGTCGGGCAGAGTCTCTGGTTGAATCTCTTGATTCCTTCCTCTCTTCCCGGTACCAACCATATTTATATGGTCGGTACTCCACTATACAAATTAGGTGGATCCTACCACAACACTATCTATCTATCTATCTATCTATCTATCTATCTATCTATCTATCTATCTATCTATCTATCTCATTCTTTTTCTATCTATCCATCAATCTATCAAGCCTTTTTTCCATATCTATCTATCTATCTATCTATCTCATTCTTTTCATATCTATTAATCTATCTCATTCTGTTCTTATCTATCTATCTATTTATTTATTTTATTCTATTTATATCTATCTATCCATCGATCTATCAATCCGTTTTTCCATATCTATCTATCTATCTATCTATCTATCTATCTATCTATCTATCTATCTAATTCTTTTCATATCTATTAATCTGTCTCATTCTGTTCTTATCTATCTATCTATCTATCTATCTATCTATCTATCTATCTATCTATCTATCTATCTCATTCTTTTCCTATCTATCCATCGATCTATCACTCTGTTTTTCCATATCTATCTATCTATCTATCTATCTATCTATCTATCTATCTATAACGCTAAACCCCACTGTATAGATAGCAAGATAAAACTATCCAGAAGAAAGTATCCGTACTGTACAGAAAAAAAACAACAAAAAACAAAACAAAAAACAACAAAAACAAAACTGAAATATAAAAATACTTTTTAGTTGCTTGTATTCTCTGCATGTATAATGTCGGATAATTAAATCTATAAATATTGCATATAAAACAATCTAAAATATATTAACACGTGCCGAGTAGTAAAAAAAAAAAGAAAACATCTATGGCCATATACAAAAAATTTTAAAATATCATTGTTTATAATTTCTGCTTGAGTAATATACGATTCTTATTTAAACAATAAATTTTATTGCCTCATGAAAAAAAAAATAATAATAATGAGAAATTGGAGAGCTGTATTCGAATTCCAGTCGGGTTCATTACAGACATTTATAAACAAAAGGGAAAGTAATGAATCCCTCTTTTCTCCCCTGAATGGTGTGAATAG